ATTGTAACATTAAGACTGTTGGGAAAGACTTTCCAATCACAATTCAGAGTTAGATACTGGGTTGAGCCTTTTCTAGTCTAAAAATGTTGAAAAATGCAAATAACTCTGAATCCCTATATGAGGCTCCCAAATGGACAATAATAGGTTCCAAGCTATGCTCGGATGAGCTGTCTGTAATATTGCAACCTCTCTGGCTGACTTTTTTCTGCCCAAACCGCTTCTTTTCATTCTGTAGGACTTTTTCCGAAGTCATCAATCTCATTCTCCAGGGCATGACTGAAGCCTGAACAGAGGATTAAAAATTTAAAATATCCCTGTAAAATTGATTGAATTAACAGAACAGACGAATATTTGGGGAATGTTGAACCGAACCTCTTGGCAGATTTTAATTGGATACAAACTGGCAATGAAGTATGTATATATATATAGCAGTTTGTTCACAGGAGGGAATCGGTTTAATTGCCCCGAGCAATGATCAAATGAAAAAATGTTCTTTTTTTCCCTCATTTTCTTCTATGATGCCTTGTATTCCATTGTCAGTCTTCTGTTGGTCAAGCAGAGCCTTGAGCTGTTGTGCGAATGGGTCAGGTGCAATAAGAGGATTAAATACAACTGACCATGTTAGTTACATTCATGATGCTATTTATTCAGAAGAGCATGCTTTCTCATTTGTGTGGAGTTTGAAGATCTGATTTAACTCATCCTACAAATCTAAAAATCCACCCTGGAGAAATGGCTATGCTGCTGGCTCTAATATGTTTGACTATAATGCAGTATGGCACAAGAAAAAGTTTTTTTTTAATCAAAGCTTGGATTGTTAAGATCCTGTGCAGTGCAGCAAGGAAGAGGACAGCACCTGTTCTAAACAATTGGATTTTTGCACAATTTAGAGCCAGGAAAGAAACCCCGAAATGTTACCAGCTTCTAATGCTGTACCAGCATAAATTTGATTCATTGGAAGCCAAGTAAAAAGAAGTCAGCAACAATGAAAATAGCAGTAGGTAAATTATAGGGTGCCCCTGGGGTTTTTTCTTCAGGTTCTGGTACTTTATTGGTAAGAGAAGAGGAAATATAAATGGAACATTGGTGATAAAGTAAGCCTTTAGACTTATGGTCTATAATGCTTTTCTCTCACTTTTAAAATGGAGAGATGGAAACTAATTGTCTGAGACAATCAGAAAGATGAGTTCATTTGTTCAAACAAAAATACACCTCAGATGAAAAGTTCACCTTTACAGCAAATAAAGACAAGCTGTGTTCTTTAAAATATAGCAAATGACAGCAAAGCACAGTGATTAGGAAATCATTTGATTTATTACATGCTTCTTGAATCCAAATGAGCTGGATAGGTTAAAAGGGCTCCTCTGGGTTGCAAAGAGTCTTACATTCTTTTGTACTAATTGTTGTTATACATTGTCCTAAAAATTGTAGACAGTTGCATTTTCCATAGGAGTCACCCATTTTGTCCAAAACAGTGACACTGCTCTGGCATATAATATGGCTTCTGATTCTTGAAGACAGTAAATTAGTAGCAGACCAGACCTGTTTCCCAGTATTCTGCGCCATGAGAAAGAAGGATGACATACATGACCTTAAAAGCCTTTTTTTCATATGACTTTTCATACACATGCTTCTGTTGTATTGCCTGACAACTGCACAGACCTGGCTGTAGACTGATCTGCTATTAATAGTATTATCCAGTATTTTGGCAGGGTAATGCAAAGGATGATATCCAATTCTGGATATTCTATTTGTGGCTTATATTCAAAACATTTGGGTACTTGAATCCTCATAGGAAATTACTGAAATTTAAACACTGAAGGGTTCTGGATGGAGGGCCCTTCATGTTTAAATATTAACATATTAACACTGAATCCATGCATGTTAAGTTAATCTTTCTAATAATATGCTACCTGTATAAAGTTAGGCACTCCAGAAAATGCATATTTAAAAAAATTAGCCGAACATTGAATTTGATCAATGTAAGTAAGGCAATGTAACCCAGTAACCCCAATCAGAATTTTTTAAAACATACTCTCTACAGACACAGAAAAAGAAAAACCCTCTGGTTCTTACATCAACTTTGCATGGCTGCAAATGCAGTAAATTAAAGATCTGAGGCACAGGCTTTCATCACACCACCATCAATAATTTTAACTCTTCCTGAGTGTAGCTGGACACAAGGCTGCTATCCGTGCCTTATTCACCTGACCCTGCAGAGCCTGTGGTAGCAGGATTCCTCAGACCTCTGCAAATAAGGTCGTGACCATTAGGGTCATAAAAGAACTCAAAGAAAGCTGTTCTGGAGCAGTAAAGCGATGTTAATGTTAAATAATTCTCCACCCACTGTAAACATTTAAAAGGGTGGACAATTGCATGTGGGGGCGAGGTAGTTTGGGGGCAGTTTGCATGTGAAATAGAAACAGTAAAATGATAAATGGCAAACTGAGTGCAAGAAGGCTGTCTTGTCTAACTTGCACTCTAACCTGCACCAGGAAGAGTGTACTGGATGTATTCACTTTAAGAGTTCTAGCATTCAAAAAACAAATATTTTGAACCCGTGTTTTCACCTAATAATCCATGAATCATGGGGGAAAGCGGCAATCTAACTTTTATGAGGAACAGGTAAAGGTTATTTCCATGCTGAAAGGTCAAGAAAAGCAAAACTACATTTTGGCTTTGGAGCCTTTTTCAGGTGTGACACTAATAATCAGCCGAGATATGAGTTCCTTAAATCAATATGCACTTAAAAACTGGAACAAGTTACTCCGGTGTTTAAGTTCTATGTTTTGGCTACCTTTCGGCTGAGGAGTCTTCTTCAGGTGTGAGGATTATTAGTGTCACACCTGAAGAAAGTTCCACAGTCCAAATGTAGAGTTTCTTTTCTTTCCCTTTTAGCATGGAATAAACCTTTACCTGTTCCTTTGCAGCCCACACATACTGATGCAACTCTACTCAAATAACTTTTTTAAGCCTTACTTACTTATGAACGGGTTTGTTTCATATATATAGGTTGATTATAAGCCTTCATCTATCAAAAATCCCTTGTTGGACAGAAATCTCCCCGAGGGCTTGTTTTCAGCTATCATTACCCAGTTTCTACAACCAAACCAAATATACTGGTCATGTTCTATTTCTTGGGTGCTCTCCAGTATTTCTCTGGCTCAACAATAATCCATTCTTCCTGCACTGGTTTTCTGTTTAATTTGAATCCTCTTCTGGCGTATTTTGCTTGCAATTGGGCACAGGCTGTAGCTGAGAGAATGTTTATTTTAAGAACAATATTTGGGGTACAGCATAAATATTTTTCACTGAATTCCACATCTTTTAGGAATAAAGCAAACAATATTTATGAAAAGGATGGACTTGTTGTAGCAATGTACAAACCACAGTTAGTGATATACTGTAATTATTGTACATGGTTTCAACCCCAGTCACCCTTTAAGTTGATTAAAATGCTTCTTCCCTACCAAAAATGTTGCTGGATATGAGATCAATTCTACCTGATGAACCTGTGCTCACAGACTGCCTGGCTCTGTAGACCACAATATTTCTCTAGTCGGCTTGTGTTTTTTTTTTAAATCTGGGAAACTTCAATATCCCTGTTATTAAATAGGCTCATATGCCTCATGCCAAAATCTTGCCAAAAGGTCCTTACACCGAATTAGATGTATTTCATGGTTGTAGTGAACTTATTTATGGCTGCAAGACAATACATATATCTTACTTATGACAGACGTTGTGAGGTGACAACACTTAAAATGAAACAGGGAAAAGAATATTTGCATGTTATCAATATTTTGTTTTTAGTCATATTTGAGGAGAACTGAACAGCAAAGTCAGTGTCCATCATGATTAACAGTGAGTTCAGGTGATATTTTCTACTCTTTTTATTTTTTAGTAACTATCATTTAAGACTGATTTGGCTTCAGAAACTCGCCTTGCCTTTAATCAAACGTCCTCTGCTTTTGAATATGGCATTAATAATCACTGATTACCTTTCAGGGTAAACATTAAACACATAAAAATCACATGTACAATGATTGTTTGCATCATTTGAGAAAACGTAATTTTAGAAAAATCCAGAGAATACCAACTTTGAGTTCTTGGGAAGTATGAAGCATATTGGAAATATTCAATGCAGTAAAAATGCCCAGTAACTTTAATCATTTTCATTCTTTCTTCTAGGATTATAGGTATTCTTATAGGTTTGCAATCCTTGCAGAGTATTAATGAAAGCTGTACTATTTTCATTTCAGTAATTTTCATTACTGTGCAGTACTTCGTTGGAGTGTTTAAGTGGATATTGATTTAAGGAAATAATGTCTGGGCTGTTACAGAGAAGACGTGTTTTAGCACTCTGGATTTTAACAGTGTGAATCTTCATTTACATGAACATTGAAAGCATACCTACATTTTTCTTTTAGAAAATGTTTTTGAACTTAGTTTTGAGGCCTTTTGTTTTTGGTTTGTTAGTGGGAACCTCCAAGATGCCACAGAATACTAAATTAGTTTTGCTTAATCGGTATGACCGAGAATAATTCATTTATCTGCACAGCTGGATTCAATAACCAGGGCAAGTTTAAAAAATGCCATCGCTGGAACGATAGCACAGCTTTCAGGATTGTGTGTGTGGGTTTTTTTTTAATTTAACATCAATCGGGGGGGGTTGATGCCACACCAAAGAGTAAAAAGAAAAGTGCAAACACATCGTTTCGACTGCAAAAACCTTATGAAGGTGATCTTTAGGGTTTACCTTTTTTTTTTGTTACCGTTCCCCGGTTAATTAATCTCGACCTGTTCTGTCGCAGCTCCAAACTGTAAGCTTGCTTTATATACACTGAATATAAACATGACAAAAAAAAACCTGCATGACAAAACAAATGCATTGAAAAGCGTCAAGGTCCAACCCAGGAATCCCCCTTAAGGACTTTTTCAGTCTGTTCAGAGCTGTAGGGAATCTCCTCCTGTCCGCAGGGGTGGGGCGAAGGCAGAGGGGACTGGCAGTTCCGCGAACTCCTCTTTCACTTACCAGCCTCCGGTTTCATTTCACCTGCTAGTGCAGCTGCGGACCGGATCGGGGCTAGTGAGCGGCGAGAATTCAAATTAGTAAAAAAAAAGAAAAGACCTGTCCAGTTCTCGCATCGTTTCCTTCGGTTTATCCGAGCCAAAACTGCCGCCGCTTTACCAAATTAGAAAAACAAAAAGGAGGGATTGTTTCCGAGTTGTGTTTTCAGTTTCGAGAAAGAGAAAGAGTTTAGCTGAAGATAACTCCGTGATAAAGCAACCATTGGCTTTTATCAGGATGCGTTCGCCGGTCTGCAGTTCTTATGCAGTTCTTGCCATTGGGGCGATTATAGCTGCAGTTCTTCAACTAGGTAAGTTTTTCTCCTTCAAGGTTTTTACTGTATTCTAAAGTAATGAATACCTCGTAAAAAAAAAACAGTAAGTAGACGGGGTTTTGCCGGCGTTCCTGTTATTAGCGTGACTGTACTGCGTTGAACAATGATAAATAATTTCAGGGCAGTTTTTTTTCCACAATCCCTTCGTGGGGAAAATCATTTCGGTGAGGTTTTTCAAATCTGTTTTTGGAGCACAGCAACAAGTTTATACCATCGAGACTAAATTAATCACTTCTAACGAGATGTGAAGTTTAACAGTCTGAAACCCCATTCCCTCATTCGACGATATTAACATTTGATTCTCTCGTCCTTAATTTCTCAGGCTTATAATAATATAACTTATTGCTTGGTGTAAAACGAGGGGGGTTGATTATGACTTATTGTTAATATTACTACACCAGTGCGTTTTTAATACGCAGAGGGGTCATAATGGTCGACTATTAAATTTGCTTTAGGCGCACCTTTTACATTGCAAATTACATCCCATTAGAGGTGTATTAACTACTTAATCACCTGGATAGTAAAGCGTAGCCTTTCGGGTTTGCCAAGTAAGCGCCTTCACTGGGGCGGCATACAGGTGGAAAAACCACAACAGCTTTAGAATGGAAAAAAAAGTATATTGTTTCGAAATGTTACTTGCTGGCTGGTGGTTTAAGCCGAGCTTTATAAAATATCACACGTGATTGTATGATATCAAGTCAGAATGCTGCGGCTACAGGGACTTCTCAAATGAAGCAAATGTGCTTTCATTTTCACCTGCTTTGAAACACGAAAAATACGGGATTTTTTTTTCTAGATGTTGTTTTAAAAAAAAATATTTTATTTCAAATAGTAGACGCCGCGTTTCTGAGTGTAAAAAGCAAGAGTCTTTTCTTCGCTCGTACCCCTTTGCCTTAGGGTTGCGTTGAACACCTTCGTGAGAAATCGCGCAAATGAAAAGGGCTTTGGTGTAACTTTAGCTTTACCAGGAAGTGGAACCAATCAAAAGAAACAGACAAACATCTAAGAAAAGAAGTGGACTTTAGATAAGAACTAAAACTGTCCGGCAATTTGCCCAGAGGTCGACATGTGGGCTTAAGTTATTTTTATGCACATAAGGGTACTGCTTTATTTTGAAAGTTTTGTTGAAGACTAAGCGGAAAGGCAGTATTGAATTCAGACTTTACCCATAAATGCTGTGAATGTATAAGCGAACATAGAGCTTGAACAGCACAGTGGTAAATGGTTAGTTTTTAACACGCTTGAAATAAACTGCTCGGGGAAACTGTTGTTTGGCTATCTTTGGGTGGTAATCAGCCTTTTCAAGACAATATTCTTATTGGATCGCTCCCACAGAAACGCCGAAGAGCCCTTAAAGTTATTAAATCGCACTATTGGTCGTCTATTAGTATCGCCCTGATTTGTTCTCTCTTCGGATGGCCGCTGCCCCTCCCTTGTATTAATAAATTATTTGTAAACTGTAAGCGCCTCTCATCTCACTGCCTCTTTGTGCGGGTGGAAAAGTCGAGGCTGACGCATGACGTCTTTATTAATTCCTGGTCGCATCAAGGATGGCCACTTCAGGGCAACAAGTCAGTCTTTTGATTGAACAGGAAATGAGCGTGGTCCGAGTTGGACTAGAATAAAAAAAAAAGCTGATTACAGCGGGTTTTATCGCTTTCCAGCGTGTACAAACTCCTGCTCAATTTGTACACGGTGTTAATTTATTCAATTTTAAAGGTTAGAATCTTCACCAAATAGGTGGGAATTTTAAGAGCAACCTCCTTTGCCGTTTTCCCTCCTTTTTTGCAAAGCCTGGATAACGTCACGGTTTTCTCTCCAGGACCCCGAGGTAGTAAACAAAGCCCAGGTTACAGAAAGTTCGGGGTCTGTTGGGCTGGTGGCTGCTGGGAATCGTCACATTTTATGCCCTTTTGAACTGATTTTATTGCCAGGCCTAATCAGGTGACCCCTGCAATACTGGGTGGTCAACTTTTTCTGTTGTTGGGATTTTAAGTGTTGTTGGAGTGTTCACTAAATGAATCATAATTGATCTTATGACTCACCTGTGTAGTTACGGTTAGGGTAGAATTACCCTAGCATCTGCTCACAACCGAATAAGACTCCACAGTCAAAACGTTTCCTTTCTTTTCTTTTCAGCTTGGAATAATCTTTAACTTGTTCCTTGTTAGGGTAGAATTAGGTTGGTTTGCCAGTGTCCTGTATGGTAGCTTGTCCAGATGTTCCCCCTTGCTTTCTATAGACAAAAAGCCTCATACCTTTCAAACTGAAACTGTGTGCTGGAGTGGGGGGTGAGGTGTGGGATTTTCTGCTAGGGCATTTCTGCTCGCACTCTGATGACATATTTAGAGCAATCTTAAAACCTGATGATTGTGAGAGCACATTAAGATTGAGTTCTAGCCTACATACAGTGTAAACCAATGGCTCGGTTATTAAATTGACTATAACTGCGTTTTTATGGGGAGTCTGTCTTTTGTTCCTTCATGATCTTAGCTTTAAGGTATGAAGCTGCAACAACGAGCACACTCCATAAGAGCTGCTATTACTGTATATATTGAGGCCACTGAAGTGCTTTTAGTTGGTCTGATGTAGCACTTCGAAGAAATTGTACATTTGTGGGCTATAGACGGAACTTATTTTCGAATAATTCTCTTCCGAATTCAGAAACTGGTATCAATCCGAAACCCTTTTTTTATTGACTTCTGTCAGATTTCCTTTTTTATAAAGGAGGTCGGAGATAGCCGGAATAGTGCTTTCCTGACAAGATCTCTTGTCAGGAATGATTAGCTCAAGGGAGGGGTTTGGGGAGCAGCGGAGCCTGACTTGAACTTGAAGCCCGATCACTGTGTGGGGGGGGGGAACCCCAAAACAGGAATGTGGCTCTTGCAGGATGTAGGGAATAAAACAGATTGTATCTAAAGGGGAAAAGAGCACTTCCCGAGATATAAAAACCTCACACAGGCTGAGACGGTGAAATATTTTATCGTTCGACAGGAGTATGGCCTCAAAAGTTCTAAAAATAAACCACTCTGCCCTCATTTAAAACCATTGGTATTCATAGTGGTGTTGCGCTATGACATCATGAGAAAGCATCTAAACTGGTCTCCTACATGAAAACCAAGGTTAGCTCTTTTTTTTTTTTGCTCTCTTCCCATGTTTCGTACCAGCCCTTCCATCTTCTGGGAGCCTTAGGCTGGTGGTTCAGAGGAATGTGTTTTTGTTTCGGCTATATTTGTTTAGATATGTTGTACATTTCAGGTTTTCTTTTTTCTCCATTCCATTGTTTCTGTTCCCCAACGGTGGATTGGAGATAAGATTAGGCCTGTTTTGTTCTTAAGCAGCTACAGCAATGGCTTTTAACTGAATTGGCCCTATGTCATGTTTCTGTTTTTCCTGTAGCTGAGGTATTAAAAGTAATTTCCTTGAATGAAGTTGACTCTTCCTGGTGTCTACAGTATCCTGGTCATTAAATACTAAAGCATCATGCAATAAATCACCCTTCTTTGCTGTTTTATTTTATCAAAGTTGAGCAGGAGTCTGTTGTCTGTGGTGGGTATAGGTGCTCCAGGGTGATTTTTGCCTGTTATTTCTCCCTTTCTTTAGGTTTGCAAATGCTGGTGTCCCTTTGAAGCTCTTTTTTTTTTGTTGCTGTAGCAGAGATTGATTTACTATGCATGTTAAAATGCCTTTCTTTCTCATGTCGGTGAGGAGGGATTAACTGTTCTCTACACAGTTCTTCTAACCGTCCTGTGATTAAACATTAATTTAATTTCTTTATGCGAGTATGAAAATCCCTTCACCATCATTACCTCAAAAAAAAAAAAGCTCAGGTTTCAGCATATCACCTTTCTCAAACTGCATTTAATTCGGAAAACTCAAAATACCATGACAAATTACGAAACGGAATACTTCTCATTATGCTACTTTGTGCTTGTCTGAAGGACAGCTGTGCTGTTACTGCCTCACTTGCTAGCGTTTGTTACAGCAGCGTAACAAGTTGGGGCTTTTTCATAAATAGGTAATGGAAGACTCGTGACAGCCTATTCCAGACCACTGTCATACATATTTCAGATTTAATTAAAATATTACTTCGTCTAGTTATCCCTTTCTTTGCAGTTTACAATTACCTTTGATACAGTAGTTAGCATCTTAGAAACTTCTCTGTTGAATCACCATTGAAGAAGCCTGTTTGTTTTGTGCTCAGTTTCACTAACAAGTTGGCGCCTTCGTTTATTTCTGGAATTCTTTCAGTTCCTTGTTTGTGAGGTCATCTGTCAGAAGTGGAGGAGGAGTGGAAAAGGTGACTTGCAAACAGTGTTTGCTCATTTCCTGTCAGTGAATTTTCATCTCGGTGATGTCATTGGCTATCACATGACCTTCAGGTCAAGGAAGTGAAAATGAAAAGTGTGGTGAGGATTTTCTTTAGTTTGGTGAGGGGAAGAGTGGCAAATTCAGTTTAGGGGCAATGCACAGAGAAGAAATGTAAAAATTTTTAATGCAGTCATTATGCCAGGAAACTTCTCAATGGGAAAATACCAGCACCAAAAGCAAAACAGTCATGTTATTTGTTTCATAATTACACAACAAAAGTGTGTGACTTATGTAATAAATAAATTAGTGGACCTAACAGTCTGAGAAAGCAGAAACTCTAAACCATCTTTTTTAGATAGATTTTTAATCTCTGCAAATATTTTTAAAAAGTCATCATTCTGTTTTGCAATATGTCTTAACATTCTTTTTGAACTGCTTTTCACAAATTTCTAAACCTGCCCAAATAAGACAGGAATACTGTTTAGTTGTTGTGAGCAAAATGATGAAAATGACTGATATTGCACTTCAAAACTTTATTATAAAGCTCTGCTTGTTTTAGACTACAACTGAATGAGAGTTAATGTACCTAAAAAAGTAAGGGTTGGTAAGTAAGGCTTATGTAAGCACTCAAATGGGACAATAGTGTGTATAATTAGTGAATATAA